TAAGTGATTGTTATTGTGTCACCGTGCTTCTCTTTTCTCCAACAACAACTGTACAACTACAACAACAGCAACAACAACAACAACAACAACGACAACAGCAGCAACAACAGCATTACACTACCCAACTCAATGTAAAAAAAAGTACAGAATTAATACAACTTCAATGCCCTTCAAATAAAAAAAAAGTACAGAATTATTAACCAAAGTGCCCCTCAATTTAAAAAAAAAGGGATTTGGAATTATTTCACCACTATGTCTGCAAACCCCAAAAAAGTACTGTGAATTATTACACAATGACCCCTCTTGACCCGTGGCTGCTTATGATTTAATTGAAGACTGTGGATTTGTCCTCTGACCAGGTTAACGTGAAGAACATTAAGCGAGGGTCTCACGCATTTTTCCCTCCTCGCCGAGGCGTGCTGCAGGATTACTTTGTCAAGGGACGCTTTGACGCCAGCCGCTTCCTGATCCGCGAGGGTCTTTACGAGATTAACGTCCATCAGCAGAAGAAAGCGGTGCTCTACGAGTCTTCTGTGTGATTGTTCCGTATGTTTCTGTTCCTTCAATGTGTGAATGTTTTTTGTAAAAACAGTCGAAATTGTCCTAAGATGGTGGCCAACCACTTTTGATGAGAAAAGTGGTTGTCTTAGACAGGTGGATGGATGTCTTGGACAATGCCATTATAACATGACAAAGGCAGAAGGGTGGAAGTGGGAAGTGGTTGTTCATACAAGTGGTTGTCTTGGACAGATGGCCAGCCATCAAAGTAGGGTAAAAAGACTGTATGTGTTGTTTCTGTGGTTTGAAGACTGTGTGTGTAAACGTGTGTTTTTCCATTTGTGAATCTTTATGTGAGTGTTCATTTCTTCTTATGATTAATCACTTATGTGAAGAAGTGTTTGGGAAGTGTAAATGTGAGTTAAAGTGTTAAGGTTTTTCATTTGTGAAGGTCCATTTGGACACATGTCTGGGAAAGTGTCAATAATATGTTTCAGATTTTATGAATGTATATTTTTGGAAGCATGAAAGTTTTGTAAATGTATATTTCAAAAGTTTTATGGTGTTGCATGAGTGTATAAAGTGTATCTATTAGATCAAAACAGCATCACATAATTTGTGTGCCTTACTTCATTTGTAAAAAGCCAAGACAGTTCTACTAACCATTTATGTCGTGGAAGAAAGACTTGAGTTATAATATTGCATTGTAGATTCTGGACTGTACAGCTTGTATATTTGTACCAACAAAAAAGAAGCATGCTTCCAAGTCATTTCCTTTCAGTTGTATAATTCTTTTTTACGCATTCATTCCTTCCTTTCCTGAGCTCACAGTTTTCCTGTGTTCATGTGTTTTATTACAGCTCAAGTGAGTCCAGTTGTAGTTCTGCTTTACATTGTGTTGTCACTTATAGCCAAAATCATTATGCCAAGGTTGTGAAATGTGTGTGAAGAATTAATGATACCTTGGGCTCTATCATATGTTTCCATTGTTTGAAATATTTCTGCTTATGTTAAGATCTGTATTTTAAAAAAAATTGTAGTCACTAACAACTATTTACACAAATTTATATCACTTTGAGGCCCCTCTTCCGAGCCTTACAGGAAGACCTATTGAACTGAGCTCCTTGTGGTCAGCTGCTAGATTTGGCCCAAAATATGTTTAGTCATATTTTTTATGCAAAGAGGGATAAAGGCAGATATTTCCCTCGGATAGGGTCATGGGTCCATAGGGCTAAAAGACTAATAGGAACGTGTTATGAGTGTGCTGAGTGTGTGTTGTGAATTATGTCTGATACAGTCTGTGTTTTTTGTACTATCAGATGTGACTTCTAAAAAAAAGTACTTATTTTTTAGACTTCATTTTCTTACATGTTCCTGAACGTGGCGTTCTTTTCTACATATGTTATATCTTTTGAAAAGTTTGTCTTTTTTTTTCTGTGTGTTGTAATTTCAATAATTCCTTTGATCGGGCACATGACTTTGAATAATTTCCCTGAAAAAAAAAAATGAAATGATAAAACTGAAGAGATTTGAGGAAGGATTGAAGTAGGTCTAACTTCTCACGCTGGTATTACTTGAGAGGAGTGACACAGCTTGCTCATGTTAACCTGTTCCAAAGTTCAAGAGGGGGTGCTTAGTACCTTTCTTACCGTTTTGAAGAAGTAACTTACACAGCCTCTTAACACACGGCCTTGGGTTACAGCTCCGCTCCGCTTCTTATCTCAGCTCAACAACTTACTTGACGCTGCTTCATGCAAAGCGATGCTAACTGGATCCGGATGATAGCCAAAATTAGAAAGAATTTTCAAAAACCTCGTAACATTTTTGTCAGACACACAGATCGCTTATCTTCCATTTAGTGCAAATAGAAGTTATTATTCCCTGTGTGTAACTTTTATTTTTTGGTGTTTTCCTGCATTGGGCAGGTGATATTGTCCTATTTTGTCCTCAAGATAAAGAACTTTGAGGTTCTTGAGAAATCTATGTGCTCTGCCGGAGGTTCATGTTGTCTCCCACTCGAAGCTCTTCAAATAGATAACACATCTTCTGTAGTCTGACCCTTCAGTAGATAAAGCTTGATAATTGATAGAAGCATTTGCTTCCATCTGTTTATTTACTCCTTTTAAGTCTCTTTCTAAAAGAAATTCGCATCTGTGGTGTAGGTATATTAGGCGCTTTGCCATCGCTCATTGAAGGCCCGAGTTTCATTCCAGTCTGGGGAGAATTTTAATTTGATTATCTCAGCGTTCTGCTGGGATATTGTATCCCTTTCAACTTGGGTTGGCCATGACAAGCAGGGTCACAGCCAACCTCCTAAATGATCTGAATTGTATGGATGGGGCACACAAAAAATCCAACATAAAAAAAGAAGTTACAAGCGCTATACAACTCTCACTAAACTCAAAGTTGTTTATCTGAAAGATGCCATACTAATCTTCTAGTAATATCAAATACAGCAAATATCTTTACAAGATAAGCTGCCTCCCGTTACAACACCCCCCCCCCCCAACCCTCCCCCAATGCTGAAAACAAAAATGTTTGATAGTCTCTTATGTGTGTGTGTTTAGATAACCTAATTTTTGTGTGTGTGTGCTTGCATGAGTGAATGTTCAATCTCAAGGTGTGTAAGTATGTATAAACATGTGTTTATGAGTGTGCATGTGTGTTTACGTTTGCATTTGTGTACATATGCAGATGTGTTCATGTTTTGTTCTTGCGTGAACTGTGTGTGTATGTTTTTGTGCTGATGTTTACAGATTCACTTGTGTGTGTTTCGTTTTTGTGCATTCTGTCCCCAATGACACTTGTTATCTCTCCGGCTTCTTCACAAGGCTATCTTTGAGTAGGCTTCAACGATCTTTTCAGCTTGTCTTTTCTCTTTTTGTACATACTTACGTTGTTTTTTGGGGGGGGTTTATTTTCATCTCTTGAATGGCAGCAACATTTTGTCATACAAAAGCTGTATCTTCACGATGGCTTATCTTAAGAACTTTTCTTTGTGAGTGATCAGGTATCCAGTGTGTGGCGTCCTTTTTTGCTCTGACTCGAGTAAGAATGTCCTTTACAGCCGGATAGTGGTAGATCGTATTTTTCAACTCGGCCTCAGTTGTTTTTGTTTATCAATCTTGCCTTTCCCTAGCACTAAATGGCTGTTATCATGTTGGTGTGCTTTTGTGTGCTCGCTCAAAAACTACAGTTATTCAAAGAAACTTTCGTCTTCACTCTTGTGCTCATAGAGACACATAAATCACTTTTTGTATGTTAAGTGAAGAGCTGAGTTGTTCTAAGGTCTTCCAGTGATCTAACGACAATGTATAAAGCTGTTGACTCTTTGTGCTGCATTTGTTCTGTGTTGACTAAAATGAAACAATATGCATACAACATTCGCACAACAGTTTTCTGCTGAAACACTGTATGGTATTTTCGATTTTGTTTCGATCGTGCCCTGTTGTCTAGGAGTGAGGTTTATGTGGTCAATGATAATAAAGATGGCAGGGTTAAAGTAAAGTTAAGCTCTTTAAATGGAATCACCTTGACCTAGTATACTTTCGGGTTCTTCACATTCTGAGGGGGCTCTATTTAGGTCGCCGTGAGTACGTGTCGGAAGAAGATGCGCTTGAAATTGTTTTGAAGAACGGGTGATCAAAATTCACTTTTTTCGCCTTGTTCGTTACGAGCTTTCTTTTTTAAGCAGGTTTGTGGAAGGTTTTGGTTCCTTCTGTTGGTTCTTCTGTATTTCTTGCTTTTCCCCCTTTCAAAACACGGTACGTATTGGGTTGATGTGCGTTTCGTCACTCAAATGAAGAAAAAGAGTTATTCTTTAGAATGCGAACTGCTATCTAGAATTTGGCCACGTTATCACTCCTAGACAGGGCTAATACATATCGCAACACCCAATTCAGAAACACGTTTTGTAAGAAGGTGATAATTTGAAGAGCTAAGTGAACCTGTGGGGGGAAAAAGAATCAGTGGCAGAAGTTATATATTTCGAGTGTATTCTGAAGACGTCCACTGTCATGACCCTGAAATACTGCTTCTGCTGTCCAAATATTTGTTTATTTAAATCCCTCAGTTTGCAGACTGGTTGTTTTGTTTTTTTACAAGTCAAATTGTTAGAAATTGTCCCCTTTTGTTTATTTTGTTGACCGTGCTCTGATATGTTACAATAATTTACACAAGATTTCTTCCTTCCTTGAAGAACTACCTCTGTAAGTGTAAGGTAACCATACTGCCGTCTCATGACAGAAAAACGTTTATATTTAAATGAAATTTTACAAGAGAGGCAAAAACTTACTTTTTGTATGTGTTTAAACTTCACCTACATAATTTGGTGGGTCTGATTATTTTATGTCAGTATTCATTGCCCAGGGTAAATTTGGTCTAATTTGCTGAGATATAGAGTAAATAGTTATGGAGTAACTGCTAAAAACTTTTTCTGTCGTAGCATTATTGATATCTAATTAGGTCACAACGCATATTTTCAAAAGCCGGAAACTTCCTTGATTTTAATTGTACAGCCATAAAATCAAGATAGAAAGAAGCGCTGTGAAAAGGTATTTCTCCCCTGTATAAAAACGATACTTGACCTAATTACATTTTTTGGTCATAAGACGGCAGCATAGGTTGTGTAAGTGATTGGTTGGTACGAGTTACTTTGATGGAAAGGAATGTGACAGCATTAAAAGCATATGGAGCAGCATTACTTTCTTCTTCATATATGTGTCAAACGATTATAACCTTTTCTTCAATGAGGACTGTTGTTTATGGAGAAAGTGGATGGGGTTTTTTTTCCTGTCATATTATGATTTGGGAATTTATGTATTTTTCCCTTTGCTTTTGTTTTTCTTTACGATTTCCCTGATCGCCGCCACCCCAAACCTTCCCATGTGGGTTTACTGTAAATGTGTAATAAAGTCACATTTCGTTTTCGGCTTGCGATTTGCATTTAGCTATTAGTTTGTATTAGCGTGGGGGGGTGAATAACTCCTTAAATTCCTTCAAGATTGGCAGGAAGGAGCGTTGTTGTTTCCCTTTAGCTGAATAAGCAACGTACAGACATCAAATTCTGCTGCTGTAGCAGTTTCGTTCTCAGGAAAAAATGAAAAGATAACCTGTAACTGATTTCAACTATATATAATTAAATGTTGTACGGTGTCTGTCTCTGTCCGAGGTATGCGTCTTTTACCCACCTATGAGTGTAAATTAAAAGTGAGATGTTTTTCAAGGGTAAATATTACTATAATAATACCTAAACTTTTTTAGGAAGTAGTGGACACTTTTATTGTCCAATCTGCAGCAGATCCAAGTTGTGGCACACTACAACACTATTATATGCATAATCAGAAACAAGAATTTGCATATTGGTTTGGCAGTTGTTGCCTGCCTTTTAAAATCTTGGACAAAAAAAATAATTGAAAAATGTGGATGAAAAATAAATCCTTCGATTTGCTATGGTGCCTCCAAACGCTGCCGTTTCAAACATTGAGACCAACAAGAATGCACATCCTCAATGAGTTAAGATGAAGTCAAAAATTCCAATGTGTCAGTCATTTCGATTTACTTGTCCCAACGCTAGCGGTGGTATGTGGCATACCTTGTCGTTCAATTGATTTTTTCACTTTGTTTCAGTTATTTATGTTGTATAAATGTGCGTCCTTCATCGGTGTTTATCTAGATCCTGCCTCTTGTTGATGGGCAGTTTTGAGAGTGATAAATGTTAAAAGTTTTCAGTTGATCTGGCCATTACGAATTATTCGCCAACTCTCTCACCATGTTTTTTACAGGTCTGTGTTTTAGTGATTAAGGACATCGTACCATGGTGGACATCAATGATGAGAGTAATTTGAGTTTGTGGCATAGTTTTCTGCTAGAGAATGTTTAAAAAACACTTGGACATGATTCACGTCAAATGCACAGAAATAAATATCTTTGATGCATGCAATCTACTTTCTCGAAGATGTGGTCGGTTAAGGAGTGTCATATTCACGAATGAGATTATTTTCTGTGTAATGGTGCAATAGTTTTCAGTAAGGAAGACTGCCAGGAAATTATTCCCGTCTTACACTCAGAAATAAATGTCTAATCCATTCCATTTACCAGAAAATGCATTCAGTGAATCACTGTCATATTTCTTACTATACTATTGTCTTTTCTTTTGCTTCGAGATATTCTTTCTTATGTGTCTTTTATTTTTTTTAAAAATTGTATTTGTGTCTTACTTTCATTTCTATCCGTACAAAACCATTGTCAGTTCTAAGTATCTTGTTTTTCAGTATTTGTTGATTTTGATGTGTATGAATGAAAGACAAACTGTTAATTACTTTTCTCACATATCATCCAGTCAACCCATTTGCTTTCATATGTCATCCCTTTTCATTTTGCTGATGTACATATGAACCTAGCAATCGATTTGTGTAAATACACTTAAGATCACTCAAATACTACGATACTGATAAAACTGATGTTGTATAATAGAAATATTTTGATGCACGAATAATGCTAACGTGAAAATAAAAATAAAATTATTTTATATCTACCGAAGTCGCTTTGGAGTTTTCTTTTAATTAATATCTGATTAAGTTTGCCTCTGTTGCTTTGTTTTTGTCTCATTTTTAAAGTTTTTTCTCTTTTCTGCTCCACTTTTATCTCTGTGACTTAGTTGTTTCTCTCTACCGTTTTTTTATCTTTGTGATTATTTCTTTGTTTCTCTCTACTACTTTAAAAAATATCCTTTATTTAGTTGTTTCTCCATATCCCCATCCATCCTCACCCTCATGGCTGACTGTGGCTTATTGGTTTAGGCTTTATGCTGTTATAGGCAGAAGATTCGAGTTTGATTCGCGAGTAGCAAGGGTATCGAATGTTACTCTCTCTAGTGACACCCCCGATCTTCGTCGCTGATATGTCCTGTGTTGCAAGTGCTAAAAAAACTACTAAAACAAAGAATTATTTTATTGAGTACTTATCTTTCCGTCAACAGGAATGCTGTTTCAGTTGTGTCCGACAGGGAGGGATGAAGCATTCCGCCTTCTGAATGGTCTAAATTCTAAATTGTGTGTTTGTGTGGGCAAAATGTTAACAATCTGTCCATCCCTCTCTCTCCACGTGCAGGTGGTTGAAGGATGTGATGGTGTGGCCTCTTTTGTCAGTTTTGTTATTATACTACGACTGTTTTAAATATGTCACTAGTATGTGAATACAGCCGTAACTGATAACAGCTATATTGAAAGACAAACTGCAGCAAACAAAATAGTAGATCAAGAAAAGAAAAATACAAAAACAGAACTAAATAAAGTAGTGACTGTTCATTCAATGGCACGACGCTTTAGGTTACATTACAGTAATACTGATGATGATTTAGTCGCTGGTTGGAGTTAAAATTTCCCTCTGTTGTTTCTGTCTGTCTGTCTGACCTTTTCCCAGCACTGAATGACCATGATTGTATTGCCATACACTGTACTTCTCTGTATTCAAACATGTCGATTCGTAGTTCACAGCCAGCTTATTTGTTAGTAAAGAAAAGGGTATCATTGAAAGTTGTTCCGTGTTTGGGGAGGTGGGAAGGGTCCATAGACACCTGTGTTCTCATTAATTCTGTTCTGATGCTCTTTCTTTTCCTTTCCCCACCTTGGCAGATGTGTTTATGAAAGAAAGAAATAAACTACCTCTTTTACTAGATTTTTAGAGTATGATTTATCCCTCCCCCACACCACCCTCCGCCTTCTTTCCCTTCCCCCCTAACCGGTTTTCATTCCTTAAAATCCCAAAAGCAACAAACAAACAGAAAAAACCCCACGACAATCTTGCTGATTCACTTGTATGTTGAACTTTTTCCAGAGATCAAGTACACAATAATATGTAATTCAGAGACATTAGAAAAGTGATGTCCACACAGTCGAGGCAGGGACTCGTACAAAACTTGTGGTTCCTAAAACGAAGTTTGAACGGCTACTATAAACATGAGGTATAATTAAGTTAAAAGGTAAATTTTAAAAGATGTAGAATAAAGAAATACATAAATAAATAAATAAATAAATACATAAATAATCACTATGAAAAAAAAAGATGAAAATAAGTTGGATGAAAAACTAGATAAGAACAGGAAAAACGTGGAAAAACAACAACAAAGCAAACAACGTTGATATCGTCAAGTCATAAAGTTTGGAGCACCTGAGAGTTCACAATACATACAGACAAACAGTAAAAGATGAGTCACACTAACATAGTTTTTTTCATTCATCCGGTCTGTTGCGTTTCATTCATCCGGTCTGTTGCGTTTTGCTTTTCGGTCAAGGAAATAGAAGTAAAGGACACTTACCCCCACCCCTCCCTCCCCACCCCTCTCTCTTCTTTGTTTTCTTTGATGTGGGTGTTTTACACCCTCAGCTATACAAGTTAATCGTTTAGGAGGCTGGCTTCGACCCTGCCAATCAAGGTCAACCCAGACTGAGGATTACAAGTCCCAACAGAAAGACCGAGATACTTGATCTAGATTCTTTAAAAATTCTGTACAACAACAAAAACAACAACAATAACAACAACAACAACAACAATAATAACAATAATAATAATAATAATAATAATATTATAACAACAGCATTTATATAGCGCTCTATCCTATACAAGTCAAAGCTAGGACCGCTTTACATCGATAATAATATTACTGAGAGTGAAACTTCACATACACAAGAGAAGACATAATTTTCATTTTCATTTACAAGAACACAAGTCAAACCACATAAAGAAGAATTCTATCAGCCATACATTAATAATACTGTTCACAGAAGGACAGCAGTGAAAACAAGAGAGGTCAGCACCTGTTAATGCACTCTAACTGAGACTTAAACGTAATTTTTCAATTAATAAAGAAGACACAATATCTCTTTTTTTCTTGCTTGAGAATACTCAACAGGCAACATTATCATTGATCACATCAGACCTGTTTTTGATTCACAGCTCAGTCTTGACAATTTTTATACATGTACATACCCGTTTGAGATTGTGACTTCCGAGAGTGCATGGATCTGTATTGTCCGGGGGTGGGCGCTATAGAAATCTTCATCATCGTAGTAGTGGTAGTAGTAGTAGTAGTAGTAGTAGTAGTAGTAGTAGTAGTAGTAGTAGTAGTAGTAGTAGTAGTAGTAGTAGTAGTAGTAGTAGTAATAGTAGTAGTAGTTGTTGTTGTTGTTGTTGGTGCTGTTGTTGTAGTAGAAGTAGTAGTAGTAGCCTATCATCTCACCAACCTCCCGGCATAGATAGGAAAGACTTGTTAGCTTCCAGACGCACATCAACAATATAATTTCTTGAATGAATTGCGATTTGAAATCATGGATGGATTACGTAATCAAAGTAATGAATGAATCAAGGCCAAGAGATGAAGTTGTTGGGGAAGGGGAGGTGGTGTTCAAGTCAAGTCCTTTTTGATCATCCAATGCTCGCTCTCATGTACTGCCGACTCTGCTGCCCGGGAATATAGATAAACGATTTCTTTGCAATCTGAGTGAAAATTTTGTCCATACTACCCCGACCTTTGAAAGCGTTTTCCTTCGCCTGCGACGTATTCGTTCTCGGGGCTGGCCGGGGTGTGCCCGGAATACCTCTAGGATTATGCATGAGAAGATTCATCCTGAAACCCCTGTCTAAACTCGCGTTGGACTCGCCCTCGACCTTCACCCTGGGAACTGCCCTAGAGCTGAGGGGGCCGCGGCCGTATTTGTTGACGATGATCTCCATTCTTTTTCCTTTGTCCAGCTCGGCGTTGTCGAAGGCTTCCGGTTTGACCCGTGGTTCGGGTCTCGGTGAGCGTTTGTTCTTGCCGAAGTTGTGAATCGTGTTTCTCATCGCACCACCTTTGCTGACCTCAGCGATTTCTTCAGCTTCCAGCTTTATCCGCGGGACGGCGCGTGCAGACAGGGGCAGGGTGCCGTATTTGTGCAGAAGGTTATTCATTCTGCCACCCTGAGGGAAGAACAAAATGATAAATGTAACTTTGTATGTACTCTCAGAACTGCCTAAGAGGACCATATTATTATTTAGTCGAAGAAAGATAATGGCCGTCGTAGAAAAGTCCTGCTGTTTTCTACACTCCACCCAGGAAAAAGATAACATTATTTTAAGGTACATTTTGCCACTATAATGTAAAAATACGCCAGGAAGGAAATGGAAATTGGCCGTTTGTACAGGTAGTTTTCTTACACAGGAGTCCGGTCCGTTAGAGCAGGTTCAACTGTAATTGTGATGGGTTTTACACACATCCCCGTTGGTACAATCTTGATCATTTCAGGGGTTTGATTCTTCGCACATTAAACGCAGTGGTCTTGCATCTCAAATAATCTTATGATGTTGGTAAGGGCATTAAACCTATAGAGACCTACCATTTATCCGTTAATAAGTAGAGGTGTTACCTTGCTGACTTCTGCGGTCTCTTCCGCTTCCGGTTTGACGCGCGGCTTCCGGGGCGTGGCAGGTCGTTTGGCGTACTCGTTGACGATCACCTTCATCCTGCCGCCCTTGCTCACTTCTGCTGTTGCTTCTCCGTCTGGCTTCACTCGAGGTGGGGCAGTGTGGGGGCGGGGTGTTGCAGTGCCTGTTGATGAACAGTCGGATATTCTTCTTCTTCTTCTTCTTCTTCTTCTTCTTCTTCTTCTTCTTCTTCTTCTTCTTCTTCTTCTTCTTCTTCTTCTTCTTATTACTATTACTATTATTATTATTATTATTATTATTATTATTATTATTATTATTATTATAATTATTATTATTATTATAATTATTATTATTATTGGATCGTAATCTTTAAAAATCCATAATTATCAGCCAGTTAACGAGTATAATTTCTAGGTTAAAAAATTAAATGATTGATTGTATTTCATCGAATACATTACGATTTTTTTCAGTGTGCGCGTACAGATATTGGGCCGTTTTAAGTTACTAAGACTATGAGTTCATGATTTGGTCTATTCAGATTGCAAGATTATTCGCGGGCGTTATCAAGATATTCCAAGAATTGCATTCGAACAAGTTTGACATGATGTGAAACTAAAAAAATGTTTTACGTTAAATAAAATTTCTCAAAACTAGGTACTGAGAAGATAGACCTTTGTAATTCTACATTATGAATGTCTCGATGAGGGCGTTCAAACATTAACAATTATTGTAACACAATTTACAGAATTCGATACTGTCAAATGACGACCCATGAGCAAAACGTTCATCTGTTGATTCTACTAAAAAAAAAAGAAATGCGACTTCCTCCTACCGTTCAACATGGGCGCCACATTGCCGAACCAGCCCTGCTTGTAGTTGCTCCGCGAAGCAGAGGTCGGACATCTAGGACTTGGCTTTGGAGTGATCACCAAAGGCGCTTTGTCGTCAAACACTTTTTGCTTCACCGTGCCTGTTGACGATTGAAAAAATGCCGGTTTTACTTACACATTTTCGAGCACTTTTCCCTTTAAAACCCCCCAAAACAAACACCCCCACCCCCCCAAAAAAAGAGCACCCCTAACCCTCACCCAACAACAACAAAATACCAAGCCACCAAACAAAAACAAAAAGAATCAAAACAAAACAAAACAACGATATCTGATATGTTAAGGTATTGAATAGACAAGACAATAATTATAATGATATTAGTTGTTTTTTTCCATAACGGCGATGCATTATTTTGTAAGTTGGAATTAGTTTTCACACACTGTTTTGTTGTATCATTCTTTGACTTTTATGAAGAAATTCTTGACTATGCTGGCACTGACAAAATCCCACTAAAACCAACAGCAACAAGAAGTAACACCATGCTCATATACTATACCCTCCCCCAAAAAAAAAAATTAAAAAAAATTAAAGAAAATTAATTAATTAATAATAAAAAATAATCAAATTAAACAAATAAGTAAATCAATCAAGGTTAAAAATGAGTATAAATTAATAAATACATTTTATATCATAGATAAATAAATATGGGTAATCAATCAATAAATAAATGAATTAGCCACAGCCAAGAGAAAAAAGTAAACAAAAGATCAATCGAACAAACAAACAAAAAATAAACAAATAAACAAAAAACCGACCCCCCCCCCCCCTCCACCTCCAAAAAAAAAAAAAAAAAAAGTATTTCATCAATAAAGGAGGTTCTAAAACTTAGCAATGTATTTTTTGTCTTAGCCACAATCTCGACGACCTCACCTCTGTTCTTTTCATAGTTGGGCTCCCCCTCTGGCTTGACCCTGGGTCCGGGCCGGGGACTGGCGCGGTCATTGTGGCTGGGGTAGGCGGGCACTGAGCGGCCCATGGCTCACCTCACCACAGGGCAGGAACTGAGGGAAAAACATCATGATACAAGTTACCGGGCTAGGTCATGATACAAAGGAATGGATTCGGCCAGGGAACAAGTTAATGGACTCGGTCAACGGACTCGGTCATGGTACACGTTACGGGACTCGGTCATGGTACAAGTTACGAGACTCGGTCATGGTACACGCTACGGGACTCGGTCATGGTACAAGTTACGAGACTCGGTCATGGTACAAGTTACGAGACTCGGTCATGGTACAAGTTACGGGACTCGGTCATGGTACAAGTTACGAGACTCGGTCGTGGTACAAGTTACGAGACTCGGTCATGGTACAAGTTACGGGACTCGGTCATGGTACAAGTTACGGGACTCGGTCATGGTACAAGTTACGGGACTCGGTCATGGTACAAGTTACGGGACTCGGTCATGGTACAAGTTACGGGACTCGGTCATGGTACAAGTTACGGGACTCGGTCATGGTACAAGTTACGAGACTCGGTCATGGTACAAGTTACGGGACTCGGTCATGGTACAAGTTACGGGACTTACGGAACTCGGTCATGACTTAAGCTCAGTGGCAGTGGGTGGACCAAACTTTGGCCGGGGCTTATGTTGCTTTCACTTCTTTATCATCAAATAGCAAGCAATAAGAACAAAACAGTGGTGATTTTTTCATACTAACGGCGAGCCACGGAATTTTGAGAACCATTCAAACGAGAAGAGTCACCTTTGTCTTCCTTCTCTTTGTTCTACGTTAAATTCTTCTGGATGCTGGTGACGAAACCGTTTCACCTCCAAACTTCTCTAATTAATTTTCATCTGATGAAAAAGTTGTCTGAAAAGTGGTTTGATGTAATTAATAACTGTTAAATCTCAGCGGCACACACACAAACACGCATACACAGCACTCCACGGGCTGGATAAGGCCGTGTAGTCGAGGAAAGTAGACAGCGCCTGACAAAGGTCCAATGGGAGCGTAGGTAAATGTGTCATTGGGGGCGGGGGGGGGGGGGAGTGTGTTGTAAACTTTCACCCCATTGTCAGGGCTAGGACAGCGTGAGCCCTCTGCACAGTGTTACTTTTTTCAAGTCTTCTACCTTTTTACAAGAAGAGTTTCATAACCGAGGGGCCATGGGAACGGGCTCATCCTTTGCTGAGCCCTAAAAACATTTGATTGGCTGTTAGGTTACTATAGTTGTAAGCGGTGGCAACAGTGATGGGATAAACGAGCAAGCTGTCAATAAGATCATTTTGTGTTCATTATGTGCGATCAAAACGGTTTCAACTGCTTATTTTGTTATTTTCATTTGCTTTGGGATAGAGTTAAGGGGTGGGGAGGGGAGCTCAAACCCGTGAGTCCTTCATTACCCACCGCCACTGTATAAGTTACGGAACTCGGTCACGGTTCAAATTAACGGAAATGATCAAGGTACAAGTTAAAGGGAATGGTCAGAGTACAAGTCATCAGATTCGGTCACTGTACAAGCTAATGTACACGGGGTGCCTCAAAATGGCGTGCAGTAGTAGCTTGTTACGTGGTCTGTATTGTGTGATAGGCCTATTGCGTATTGTGTAACGTTGACTCATTATTGGCTGTATGTAGTTATTATGTATTTCTGAGTGAACGTATGTCCTAACTAACGAAATTTTCCCCTGAATGTCAATAAAAGTGGCATTTTTTAATTTTTTAAATTCTTTGTGAAAAAACAACAAAATTTGTTAAAAGACACCTCCAAAACAAACAGACAAACAAATAAACAAACAAACAAAACAAGCAAAACAAAATCACATACACTAAAGCTAACAAAATACCCCCACCCTCTCACCAGTGTCTACTCATCTACCTACCTATCCGCCTATCCAACCAACCTCTCTCTTTTTCCGACACATACACAATTTACATACATACATACACACACACACACACTCACACACAAACACACACACACACACACACACACACACACACGCACACACATACATATGCACACACAAACATCCACTCACACACACACACA